CCTTACAATATCCTGTGTGGAGAGTTCCTGGGGTTGAGCCCTGTCCTGGGTAGCCTTGGGCCCCGGACCTTCTGGCCTGCTTCCCCTCCCCCCCCCTCCGCTGCTCCCTGGGGAGAGGGTAGGAAGACCTGGGACTCCCCCCCCCCCTGCAGCTTCCTGGGGGTGGCGCCCCTGCTGGCTCTCATCTGGAGAGCTGGGCCTGGGGCTGTTACCACGGCCCAGGACGGGCCAGGTTGCTGCCATCCACCTTCCCCTTGTAGTCCAGGCCCAAGACTCGAGGACCTCTGAGGTGGGAGGCAGACGCCCGGACCAGGGACGGGCCAGTCATTATGGAGAGTGGACAGCCCTGGGGAGTCTGTTTCCACCCCCAGGTGCTGCCTGCGCGTTGGAGCGCTGGTGAGCCAGGGCAGGGGGGCAGAGCAGGGTCTCAGCAGGCCTACCCCAGCCCCGGCCCCGCCCAGGCCCGGCTCCCCCCATCTCCTCCCCCCCCCAGCCTCCCCATGCCACGTGGCGAGACCTCTCCATTCCCGCGGGAAGCCAGGCCCCTGCTGAGGGGAGGGCTGCTGGAGGAAAAGGGCACATCCGACCAAGCGGGGCTCCGGAGGCTCCCCGCCTGGGCCTGCCGACGAGGCTCCCCGCCTGGGCCTGCCGACGAGGCTCCCCGCCTGGGCCTGCCGACGGGTCCACAGCCATCGTCCTGCGTCCCTGCCTGGCCCTGCCGAGCTCCAGCCTTGGCTCTGGGCCCCTGGGTCCTGCCGGGGAGGGCTGCAGGGAGACGGCTCTCACTCCCTGATAAAGTAAAAATAGTTGGGGAGGAGGCGCCCAGACGTGGGGGGCGCCTTGCCTCTCAGACGTTTAAATAATCTCAGCCATATGTGTGTGGGCCGGTCCTCCCTCCACCCTGCCTTCCTCCCTCGAGGCTCTGGTCCAGGGGCTGCGCTGGTCCACTGGGCGCTGCCGTGGGCCAGGGGCCGCGCTGGTCCAGTGGACACTGCCGTGGGCCAGGGGCCACGCTGGTCCAGTGGACACTGCCGTGGGCCAGGGCAGGTCAGCCTCCTCCTCCTCTCCTCACCCTGGACACTGTTTGAGCACCTGCTCTGTGCTGGGTTGGTCTGCAGGACACAGGGAGCTGGGGAACCACAGGGCTGCTGGGGGAGGGCCTGGGGGCCTCTGTCCCCCATTTCCTGTGCTGTGGATCCTTGTAAGTGGGGTGGACATAGGAGGGGCTCCTGCAGAGTCCTCTAGGACGGGTGAAAAGGAAGAGGCCTGGATGGGCAAGAGGCGGACTGGTAACAAGGGGGTTGCACTGCCGGGGACCGGGGGGGGGGGGGGGGGAGGAGGGGTTGTGCCCAAGCCCAGCCTTGTCCCTGCTGTGGAGGCCAGTGGGTAGGGTGTGCCCGACCTGTGTGTGTGTGTGTGTGTGTGTGTGTGTGTGTGTGTGTGTGTGTGAGGAGGGTGTGCCACACCCACCGGTGTCCCTGTGCACGTGTGGGGTGATCTGTGGTTTTGTTGGAAGCGTCAGTTGATTTTCCAGCTTTTCCGGGGGGGGGGGGGGGAGGGCAGGCGGGCAGGCTCTGAGCAGCGTTGGGACAAGAGCAATCTTCATCCCCAGAGCAAGGCCACCTGGTGCTGTCCTGGTCTGCCCCGCCCCCCACAGCCACCCAGGCCCGGAGTCCTGCAAGAGCTCAGGGAAGGAGCTGCCCAGAGGAAGGGCGGAAAGGATGGGGCTCCTGTCTCCTGGCACTGCAAAGGCCAGGGGGCCATGGAACTGTCCTGGGCCACAGTGCCCTCCCATGGGGCCACTGTGGGGCCAGCGGCCCAGAGGGCCTCCCTGTACCCCCTGTCAAGGTATCTCTATCCAACCCTTTGTCCGTCCTGAGCACCAGGACCTCTAGGATGGCTGTGTTCTGTCCCAGAGCTAGCGGAGGCCGAGCAGATGCTGCGGGTACTGTCTGGGGCAGGCCGTGCGCTTGCGTCCTCCGTCCGCCTGTTCACTTGTGTCCAGCGGGGTCACGCAGGGACAGAGGGCAGAGCGAGTCCGGCCTGCCGTGCTTCTGTGGGGTCGCAGGTCCCTGGGGTGCACACCACACACAGGAGACAGGAGCAGGGGCATGAAGGCTCCACCTCTCCATGGCCTGGACTGCCCACCCCACGGCCCTGACCTGGGGCTGGGGGTGACCGGGCAGGTCCATCCACCATGAGCTGGGGCCAGCTACGGTCTCCCCGCTCCCCTCAGCCCTGCAGGGCGTCTGAGCCAGAGAGGCCGTGTGGTGACTCTAGCCACCTAGTCGGAGCCCAGCCCCCTGGGGGTGGGAGCTCAGTCGGAGCCCGGCCGGACCCTTGTATCCCCTGCGGGCAGCTGACGCCCAGCTCGGGGCAGGCAGTGAGCTCTAGGGCCCAGAGCATGGAGGAGCTAGGGTGGAAAGGTGTCCTGGGAAGGGACGGGGAGTCCTTGTGGCCTTGTTTTGGAGGCTGGCCTCCTGGCCTCCCAGGAGTGTCCAAGTGTGCCGTCAGGAAGCAGCCGTAGAGGTGGGTGGTGGTCTTGGCCTCACCTGCCCCCCCCTCCCCCCGGGCCCCATGACTTTGGCTGTGAGGTGGACCCTGTGTAGGTGTGGGGGCCGTGGGTCTTGCTGAGGGGCACAGGAAGGTGCCCTTGCCTCCGTGGGCTTGGCTTTGGGCCAGGCATGGGGGTGAAGGGCTGGAGCCGGGAAGTCAGCTGAGGGCCTGTCAGCTGGCCCCAGGCTCAAGCCCCACGCGGCCAGTGGGCTGGTTGTCGCCTCTGACTCTGTCTGAATCTGTCTGCCTTAGATCCGCTGCATGGGGGGACCCCACAACCACACAGGGCTGGACGCCCCATTGAGCATTCCCTGCCTGGGCCCGACCCACTGCCACAGGGGATGAGGGTCACCTTGGTCCCCAGGGGGTGGTAGAGGCGTCTTGGCAGAGCTCTGTATCAGGAGGATTAGCTGGGCCTCTCCTGCCTGGTCGTGGAGGATTACCGCCTGGGGCCCCTGAGGAGGGGCTGGGGAGTTTGGGGTGCGGGGGCTCAAGCCAAGCTTTGCGGGACTGGCGCCAGGCCCGTGCGATCTGTGCCCCAGTCCCTCCGCTGCCAGGGTGGAAGGCCAGCCTGTGGCTGGGAGCCAAGGGCAGACAAGGAGCCAGAAGGGCGTGGCTGACCGGTCCTGGGAGCTTTGGGTTCAGGAGCACCCAGACTGGGCCAGGCCAGGCAGGGCAGGAGCAGGCGTGTCTGGAGAACTGGGTCTTGTCTACGGGGTCCACTGAGTGCGTGGGGAGTGCGTGGACTGGCTCTGCGAAGGGAAGTCTGATGCACCGTGAGCGGGCGTGAGCTGCCCATCCTGCCTTCCTTGGGGTCCCTGGTGGCCCCAGGGCCTCGGGTTTGTGTCCCCATCCCCTGCTCTGGCACTGCTGCTTCCTGGGAGCCCTGGGCTCCCCATCCACGAGTAGCCACGCTGCCAAGGCCCTGTGGCCCCTCTCTGGAGTTCCTCAGGACTCAGTCCTTCCTGTCCCGGCTGCTAATGGTTCCCTAATCCAATCTGAGGCAGAAAGGGCATGCTGCCTCCGACCTCCAGCGAGCACACGAGGCAGGGCCTCTGGCCAGGGCTCCTAATTGGGTTCTGTGTTTGGCTTTGAGTTGATTACATCAGATCTGGGCTGGCAGGGCCTGGTTCACTGGGGTCAGACTTCCTATGGCTAAGTACGTGGAAATAACCGGGGCTTGCAGGCTGGGCCAGGCAGGAGGAACGAGGGTCCTGGTCAACGTGGGCTGCTGTGGGCTGGGGTCCTCGGTGGGGTTCCCAGGGCACAGCCTGCCCTGCTGGCACGGGGCCTGGCATGGGGGAGGCAGCCCCGGGGAGAGCGGGAGGGCTGTATGGTTCCTTCCCCTTCCACCGCCCCTAATGGGCCTGTGGCTAGGTGGGGGGCCAGTGGCAGCTGTCAGGTAGGTGGGCTGGGTCCCCTCCTTGGGTTGTGAGGGGCAGCCTGCCCGGGCATCGTAGCCTTGGGCATAGGTGCAGCAGTCTATGTGCTCTGGGCAATGGGTCACTAGCACCTCTGGCCCTAAAGGTCAGACCTGGGCGACCTTGGGGTAAAGGCCCCACAGCCCAGGGACCTAGAGCAGAATGAAAGAGACAGGAAGTGGCAGAAGGCTCGGAGACCTCCCACCGGCCTGTGTTAAGAACTGAGATGGAACATGGTCCCTGATACCTTGGGTCCAGCTCCCCAGGCTGGGCAGTGGCCCCGCCCCGGCTCAGCTTTGGCCTCCAGCCTCCGAGCCTGGGCCCTGGATGCTGGGTACAGAGCCAGGGGACAGCACACTGCTACTGATGCTCTGGACCTGTCCCCATCCGACTCTGAGATGTGGGAGCAAGGGGCAGAGCAGCCCTGAGCACCAGCCCCGCACAAGGCTGGTAATGCCGTTGGGGTTGCACCGCATCTCTGGGTCCTGGGAGAGTCCCTATTTGTCCTGCTGCTCTTGCTCACACTCTCCCGTGGGCCTGGTGGCTGGGACCGGCGCTCTTCCCCATGCTCTCCTGGCAGCTGGGAGCACCCTGGCCTCAATCCTCTGGCCAGCTGGGCTGGCTTCCTGCAGGATTAGTGTGGGGATTGGCCAGGGGGTGGGCAGTGTGAGCTTGGGCACCTCCCCCAGCCCTTGCTTCTTCCGGTGCTCCCTAGGCCCTGGAGGGTGGGTGGGCGAGCTGGTGAAGGGGCTGCGAGACTGTGTGTGGTAGTCAGGCCAATGCCAGGGATCTAAGGGCAGCCCTGTGTGTGTGGGGGTGGGGGGGAATCCAGGGGTTCTGGAGAGGAAGAGGAAGAGGTGGAGTAGAGAGAGTGAGCCCCAAGGGGCCTGTGTACCTGGCACCGCCCCCACCTGACCTGCAGGCCCCCCTGGGCTCTGTGAGCATGGCTGGGCATGCCCGGCCTCCAGCCCAGTGCCCCTGCCCCTCATGGGAGCCGCGGCCTGCGGGACAGAGGTGTTCCTTTGGGTTGGGGGGTGCATGGTGGTGTGCCCTCGGTGGCAGCTCAGCCTACTAGGTAAGAGGGGCAGTGGGGAGGCCCTGGCTGAGAACTGGCCAAGCCCCAGGGGCACAGACCCTGCAGGAGCCTGGGGAGGGTAGGGGCCCCCTGGAGGTGTTAAAGGCCTGTACTCCACCTGAGCCCCACACCAACCTCTAACCTCCTACCCCTTACCTCTCCCCTGGGGTCGCCAGGGTCTAGAAACACTGACTGCTTAGCCCCCAAAGGAGGACCCCCAGTCTCCTGGAGGGTAAACGCAGGTGGAGAGGGGGTGCAGCAGGGCTGAAGCCCGGGTCGGATCGCCAGGGTGGGGGGCACAGGGGCCCCTAAGCTCTCACAGTGTCAGGGTCCCTGTCCCTTGGGGGGGTCAGCAGCATCCTCTGGCCAGTTAGGATGGACTGTGTGCTGGTGCGGGGTACCCTGGCCCCTAGAGGTGGACAGAGGGCTGGTCAGATGTGACTTGGGTGGAAAAAAGACAGTGGGTCAGGGACGGGACGGTCCAGTGTGTGTCCTGGGTGGGCCCGAAGGCGCCGTCAGGACTGTCTGCTTTGCGCCTTTCTGCTGTTACCGGCCATGGGGGCTACAAGCATTTGCCACCTTCCTGTGTGGGCTCTGGGGCCTGTCTCGTCTCCTGTCCCCAGCCCATGGAACCAGTGACCACGCTGTGCCTTGGAGAGTCCAGCCTCCCCGCCTCCCCATGCCCACACAGTCAGAGGGATCTTCCTTCAAGAAGTCTCCCAGGCTGGTCCTGCCCAGAGTGCTCTGACCTCTGACCTTCCAACTACTGTGTGACCCTTGTGGCGTTGAGCTTCAGCTGGGGGGGGGTGGGTTCTGTAAGCAAGTCTGCAGGGTCTACAGCGAGGGACTGGCCTGTCCCTAGGCAAGGCCAGCTGGCCTGACCTGAACTCCCCAGAGCCCGCAGCCTTTTCCTCTGGGACCTGGGTCAGGAAACCAAGAGGACAGGAAGGAAGGCAGGGGTCTGAGAAAGGGAGTGGGTTGTGGGCTCAACCTCTCAGCAGTGCCTTCACCGGAGGCCTCCCTCAGGCTTGGGGAGGACTTGGGGAGGCTAGCACTGGACTTGATCCTCAGGAGAGAGGGTGGTCGTCCCGAGGATACTGCAAAAAGGGAGCGTGGCACTCAGAAGTGGGACTGTGACTCCCGAGAGTGGCTCACGGCTGGTGCCAACAGCCAGCCTGGGCACCGGGATGTGCTTCGCCCACGCTGTGCCCCCTGGAGGCCTGTGCACAGTGGCTCCCGTGCACACACGGCTCTGGGCCGTGTGTGTGTGTGTGTGTGCGTGTGCACATGCATGCATGTGCATGCACGTCAGTCAGTAAGGAGCTTGAACTCAGGGGCTTGCAGTTTTACTTACTCTCAGCTGGCACGCTACCACTTGAGCCACGCCTCCATTTTGCATTTTGCTGATTAGTTGGACATGGAGCCTTGCAAACTTTGAGCTGTGAACTTGTAGATCTCAGCTCCCTGAATAGCTGGGATTTACGGATGGGAGCCACTGGTACGTGGCTCTGGCTGTGGGCTTCGGATCAGTGGGCCCAGGTGGTTACTGGGGCTGCCGGTGGTGGCAGGCTGGACTGTAGCTGAGCAGGGCCGGGCATACCCTCTCTGGACCTGGCCTCACCTCAGTGTCTCGGGCCATCAGAGGAGGGGTGGTGGGCAGACAGGGGTCCTGAACAACTCCGCAGAGCTCATGGGCTGTCTTTGTGTCATCTGTGTGCCCGTGTCCAGTGGAGCGATGCATGAGCGCCATGCAGGAGGGGACGCAGATGGTCAAGCTTCGAGGCAGCTCCAAGGGCCTGGTCCGCCTCTACTACCTGGATGAGCACCGCTCCTGTCTCCGCTGGCGACCCTCGCGCAAGAACGAGAAGGCCAAGAGTGAGTGGGCAGCCCATGGGGGGGCAGGGTGGGCTGGAGCCTGGGGAGCTCGCGGGGGGGGGGGGGGGACGGGGGGGGCTGGAGCCTGGGGAGCTTACGGGGGTGGGGCTGGAGCCTGGGGAGCTCGCGGGGGGGGGAGCAGGGGGGCTGGAGTCTGGGGAGCTCGCGGGGGGACGGCTGGAGCCTGGGGAGCTCACGGGGGGGGGGGGGGCTGGAGCCTGGGGAGCTCGCGGGGGGGGGGCGGGGGGGCTGGAGCCTGGGAGCTCACGGGGGGGGGGCAGGGTGGGCTGGAGCCTGGGAGCTTGCGGGGGGGGGGGGGGGCGGCTGGAGCCTGGGGAGCTCGCGGGGGTGGGGGGTGGGGTGGGCTGGAGCCTGGGGAGCTCGCGGGGGGGGGGGGGGGGCTGGAGCCTGGGGAGCTTGCGGGGGGGGGCCGGGGGGGCTGGAGCCTGGGGAGCTCGCGGGGAGGTGGCGGGGGGGGGGGCTGGAGCCTGGGGAGCTCGCGGGGGGGGGCGGGGGGGGCTGGAGCCTGGGGAGCTCGCGGGGGGGGGCGGGGGGGGCTGGAGCCTGGGGAGCTCGCGGGGGGGGGCGGGGGGGGCTGGAGCCTGGGGAGCTCGCGGGGGGGGGGGGAGCAGGGGGGCTGGAGTCTGGGGAGCTCGCGGGGGGGGGGGGGCGGCTGGAGCCTGGGGAGCTCACGGGGGGGGGCGGCTGGAGCCTGGGGAGCTCACGGGGGGGGGCTGGAGCCTGGGGAGCTCGCGGGGGGGGGCGGGGGGGCTGGAGCCTGGGAGCTCACGGGGGGGGGGGGCAGGGTGGGCTGGAGCCTGGGAGCTTGCGGGGGGGGGGGGGGGGGCGGCTGGAGCCTGGGGAGCTCGCGGGGGTGGGGGGTGGGGTGGGCTGGAGCCTGGGGAGCTCGCGGGGGGGGGGCTGGAGCCTGGGGAGCTTGCGGGGGGGGCCGGGGGGAGCTGGAGCCTGGGGAGCTCGCGGGGGGGGTGGCGGGGGGGGCTGGAGCCTGGGGAGCTCGCGGGAGGGGGGGCGGGGGGGGCTGGAGCCTGGGGAGCTCGCGGGGGGGGGCGGGGGGGGCTGGAGCCTGGGGAGCTCGCGGGGGGGGCCGGGGGGGGCTGGAGCCTGGGGAGCTCGCGGGGGGGGGCAGGGGGGGCTGGAGCCTGGGGAGCTCGCGGGGGGGGGGTTGTGGGGGGGGCTGGAGCCTGGGGAGCTCGCGGGGGGGGGGCTGGAGCCTGGGGAGCTCGCGGGGGGGGGCGGGGGGGGCTGGAGCCTGGGGAGCTCGCGGAAGGGGGGGCTGGAGCCTGGGAGCTCGCGGGGGGGTGTGGGGGGGGCTGGATCCTGGGGAGCTCGCGGGGGGGGGCGGGGGGGGCTGGAGCCTGGGGAGCTCGCGGGGGGGGGGCAGGGGGGCTGGAGCCTGGGGAGCTCGCGGAAGGGGGGGCTGGAGCCTGGGAGCTCGCGGGGGGGTGTGGGGGGGGCTGGAGCCTGGGGAGCTCGCGGGGGGGGTGTGGGGGGGGCTGGAGCCTGGGGAGCTCGCGGGGGGGGCCGGGGGGGGCTGGAGCCTGGGGAGCTCGCGGGGGGGGGGGCGGGGGGGGCTGGAGCCTGGGGAGCTCGCGGAAGGGGGGGCTGGAGCCTGGGAGCTCGCGGGGGGGTGGGGGGGGGGGCTGGAGCCTGGGGAGCTTGCGGGGGGGGCCGGGGGGGGCTGGAGCCTGGGGAGCTTGCGGGGGGGGCGGGGGGGGCTGGAGCCTGGGGAGCTTGCGGGGGGGGCGGGGGGGGCTGGAGCCTGGGGAGCTCGCGGGGGGGGGGGCGGGGGGGGGCTGGAGCCTGGGGAGCTCGCGGAAGGGGGGGCTGGAGCCTGGGAGCTTGCGGGGGGGGCCGGGGGGGGCTGGAGCCTGGGGAGCTCGCGGGGGGGGGCGGGGGGGGCTGGAGCCTGGGGAGCTCGCGGGGGGGGGGGGGCGGGGGGGGCTGGAGCCTGGGGAGCTCGCGGAAGGGGGGGCTGGAGCCTGGGAGCTCGCGGGGGGGTGTGGGGGGGGGCTGGAGCCTGGGGAGCTCGCGGGGGGGGGGGCGCTGGATCCTGGGGAGCTCGCGGGGGGGGCAGGGTGGGCTGGAGCCTGGGGAGCTTGCGGGGGGGGGGCTAGAGCCTGGGGAGCTCACGGGGGGGCGGCTGGAGCCTGGGAGCTCGCGGGGGGGGGGGGCTGGAGCCTGGGAGCTCGCGGGGGGGTGTGGGGGGGGCTGGAGCCTGGGGAGCTCGCGGGGGGGGGGGGCGCTGGAGCCTGGGGAGCTCGCGGGGGGGGGGGGGAGCTGGAGCCTGGGAGCTTGCGGGGGGGGACCGGGGGGGCTGGAGCCTGGGGAGCTCGTAGAGGGGGGGCTGGAGCCTGGGAGCTCGAGGAGGGGGGGGCCCTCCCGGGTGTGGCTGCTGGACGGCTGCGGCCGGGGACCCTGCACTCCGGTGGCCTTGGATTTCAGTGACCTCTGGAACTGCAGGGTGGACATGGGCCAGGGGCTCTTGCCCGACTGTCCACCCTGCGGGGCTTTGAGACTCAGTGGGGACTGGGTAGCCAGTGCCCAGCCCTGTGCCAAATGCTGGGGTTGGTGAAGGGCAAAAGGCAATTAGTCCAGCTGAGGGGGTAAAAGCTTCCAGAGATCAGAGAGACAAGGGCCAGCCAGGTGCGGTGAGGGCGAGGCTGGAGGGGACATGTAGGCCCTTTGGGGCACACTGAGCGTGAGGTGGGTCTGGGGCCGGGGAAATCCGGGCCCCCCCCAGGCGGCCCCCAGCAGTGCCAGGACAGAGCGGCCTTAGCCCCGTGGTTGCCAAGAGTGCTGCCACGGGTCCCAGGAGAGCCACACTGCCAGAGCCCCAGGAGGACTGGGTAAAGCCGAGCCCCAGGGCGAGGGAGGCCTGGCCCGGGGGCATCTGCCACCGCCGTGGGAGCCATGGAGCTGCCTCCCGGGTGCGTGCGAGGGAGCCCAGCACTGCTGGGAGCACTGCCCGCGGCAGGGCATCGGAGGATGCTGGCCCTGGGCTCGGGGGCCGGGCCTCCCAGCAGGCCCACGGTGCGTGGCTAGCATGCTAATGGCAAGAACACGCAACACACTGGGAGGCAGGAGGGTGAGGGTGTGAGGGAGCCCCGGAAGGGGAGATGAGCTGGGGAACCGGTGCCCTCCTTAGCCTCCCCTACTCCTGGAGACCCAGCTGGGGGCTCAGACCCCTCTGCCTTGGAAGGTCCACGTGTGTGACGGAGTAGGATTCACAGGGCCGGGAGTGGGCGCCCCCTGGCAGCACCGGGGCCTGCACAGCTGCGAGGGGGTCCTGCCCAGGGCGCGGACCTTGGAGCTCATTACTTCTAGAGGTTCAGCTTTCTGGGAGAGGCTCTGTGGTTAGCTGTGACTCCCCCAGCCCCCTGCCGTGGTGCAGAGCACCCCAAGTCCACCTGCTACGTCCCGGCTCCCACGCCTGCTAGGTTGGGGTCTATGACAGAGGCATCGTGGGACCTCCATGCCCAGCTGGCCAGTTACCGCTCTCAGAACAGGGAGTTGAGCCCACTGGGGCTTGACAGGAGGGGCCGGCCGGCCCGGCTTTCCCCGGGCAGCCCCAATGAGCTACAGTCCCAAGGCAGCAGATGCATGAGGTTTCCGGTTGGGGGGGAGAGGTGACCCCTCTAACTCACGGGGGTGGGGTGGAGCTGTGGGACCACAGGGGCCGAAATGTAGCGGGGGTGGGGGCGCGGTGGAGGGGCTGTAGGTGGGCCGGACCCCAGTCCTGGAGCCGTGCAGTGCAGGCCCAGGGGCTCCTGGCCTCTGCGAGGCGGTGACCAGTCCCCTCCCCCACCCACCTGTAGTCTCCATAGACTCCATCCAAGAGGTGAGCGAGGGCCGGCAGTCCGAGATCTTCCAGCGCTACCCTGACAGCAGCTTTGACCCCAACTGCTGCTTCAGCATCTACCATGGCAGCCACCGCGAGTCTCTGGACCTGGTCTCCCCCAGCGCCGATGAGGCGCGCACCTGGGTGACCGGCCTGCGCTACCTCATGGCTGGCATCAGCGACGAGGACAGCCTGGCCCGTCGCCAGCGAACCCGAGACCAATATCCTTGGGCAGCAGGCCGGCGGCAGACCCCAGGGCAGACCCCTCTGCCGTCCAGTGTGGGCAGCCTGCTCCCTGCAGAGCCCTGTGCCTGGGGGAGGGGTGGGAAGAGGGGCATGGGCTGGGGCCCCGGCTGCTCTCCGCCCGGTGGGCTTGGTCGGGCCTGCGAGCCTGTGTTGGCCCCTAACTCAGCCCCAAAGTGGCTGAAGCAGACGTTTGATGAGGCCGACAAGAACGGGGACGGCAGCCTGAGCATCGGCGAGGTCCTGCAGCTGCTGCACAAACTCAACGTGAACCTGCCCCGCCAGAGGGTGAAGCAGATGTTCAGGGTGAGTCTCCAGGGCACCACCCAGGATCGCTGTGGGCTGCTAGGTTACCCTGGCCCTGCGGGGCCCTGCAGGGCTCCCGAGAGGGGCTGGCAGGGCCTGGCAGGGTGTCCGCCCCACCGGGAGAGGCGGCTTGACCCTGGCCTGTGTGGGCCGGGCAGCTGCGAGCTCGGTGCCAGAGCTTAGCTCTGCCAGGAACTGCTCTGCTGGCTCCAAGGAAGGGGCTGAGCGCTGGGCACAGCCTCGTGCAGTGGGGCAGGCTAGGCCCTTGGAATAGGCCCCCAAGGCCCACAGCCGTACCCCCTTCCTGGTATCGCAGGACCCCCATCTCAGGCCCATCAGGAGCCTTCCAGGTGGGCAGAATTTCTCCTCAGCCCCCCCTGCTACTGGGGCCCCCAACCACTCTGGTGTTAGAAGTTATGAAAATGCATCCCTCAGCTGAGCAGCAGCCTTTATTGTCTGTAATTAGTTCTCTTTCTGGAACCTCTGCGGGGGAGAGAAACTCTGCCGTCAGCAGGTCCTGGTTTGGGGCAGGGATGGGCTGAGCCAGCAAACCTAGTCCCACAGCCTTGCGCCTGCTACAGCCTGGGAAAGAGGCTATATAAGCTTGGGCTCCAGATTCCCCAACACGTATGTACATGAGCACATATGTCTGCATGCACGTGGACATGTGTGCGCGCGTGCACGTGCGCGCGCACACACACACACACACACACACACACAGAGCTCTTGGCCTGACAGCTCTGCCGTGTCCAGCCCCTGACAAGCAGTCATGCCCGGCTGGAGCCACAGCTGCCTGCTCCGAGTCTGCGCACACGGGCACCAGAGGGGCAGTGAGCTCTCAGACTGCCCGCTGAGGACAGCGGGGACTGCCCCCCCCCACTGCAGACCCTGGTGGAGACAGTCTGCCCGGGCAGCGGGGACTGGCAGGTGTCTTGCATCTGATGAGATGACCTCCCTTCCCCCATGGGACCCAGGACTGGGCCACCCCACTTCCTTGTGAGCCTGTGGGGACAGCCCCGGCCTCAGCAGGACCTTCCTCGGGCTGCTCTGGGAGCCGGACAGCAGGTGACACGGGACATCAGGCCCCGTGTGTCGGCCTGAGCAAGGGGCCCAGTCTGAGGTCTTGACTTGGGCTCTGAGATGGAATCTTGGAGTCCATGCTCTTCTGCCCTGTTGTGGGGGCACAGTGAGCACTTGATTGGTTCCAAGGCCTGGTTCTACCAGGGGGCTAGAGGAAGTCCCCCTAGCTGGCAGTCGGAGGGCAGGGTTGTGCTCCAGGGCTAGTTCTAGAGAGCTACAGGGTGGGGGAGGTTGCTGCTCTGGGGCCATTGACCCCAGACCCCACACCTCTGAGGCCTAGTGGCCTTGGTCCACTTAGTTGGCCAATCAGGGATGGCCCCAGTCCCCCAGGGCCTGCCCTTCCTGCCCACCCGCCCGGTAGCCTCTGCAGGAGCTCCAAGCCAAGGGAAATAGATGAACCTCCTGCCAGGCTCAGGTCACTGTGATAATTAGCAGCAATCTGGTTGTAGAAAAATCTTGACATTGCTTCCGGCTGCCTGAAACGGCCTAATCTAGCAAAGACCTGTGCGGTGGTACAACAGCGCCAACATAATCTCATTAAATCCCTTCTTCTTCTTTTTTTATACTGGTCCCGAGGCTTGAATTCAGGGCCTGGGCACTGTCCCTGAGTTTTTCTGATCACAGCTAGCACTTTGCTCTACTTCCAGCATTTCAGTGGTTAATTAGAGATAGAGTCTCACAGACTTTTATGCCCAGGCTGCCTCTGAACCATGAATCTCAGATCTCTGCCTCCTGAGTCCTTAGGATTACAGGTGTGAGCTGCAGGCCCCTGTCTCATTAACTCTTAGATAACCCTGGAACTTGGGGCTTTCCCAGCACACTTGTGCTCAGGCCTAACAGCCCAGGAGCCCCCTGGGCTGGCTGGAGCCGGGTTTGGTGTCCTCTGTACCGTGGCTCTGAGCTCTGTGTGGCTTCTTTGGGTGTGTATTCTGTCTTGTTGCTGGGGATGACAGGCAGATACCGGTGCTGGGTTCTGGGCTGCACAAGCCCGGGCCAGTGAGCGGGGAGGCCAGTGGTTCTGAGGCCCAGCCGTGCTGCGGGAGTCTGCTCATCCTGGGGAGGGTGGCCAGCCTGTGGCTGCTGCTGCAGAGCCTCCCACGCTGGGCAAGAGGAGCAGTCAAGTCTCAGAGCCAAGCCCATCATCAGTCTGGCATCAGAAGCATGGCTGCCCCCTTGGGTGGCTGCGTGGCCCGGGCCCGGGGCAGGGCCTGGGGCGGGCAGTGCCCTGGGCCTGGAGGGGGTGGGTCATGAGGGCCCTGTGGTGTAGCACGGTGGTGACCAAGAGCCTGGCATTGCAGGAAGCGGACACGGATGACCGCCAGGGAACTCTGGGCTTTGATGAGTTCTGCGCCTTCTACAAGATGATGTCCACCCGCCGGGACCTCTACCTGCTCATGCTGACCTACAGCAACCACAAGGACCACCTGGACGCTGCTGACCTGCAGCGTTTCCTGGAGGTGGAACAGAAGGTGGGGCCCGGGCGGGGGCAGCGTGCTGGCGTCCAGCCTCGTCCTAGCGCCCGCGTGACGCCCTCACAGACCTGCTCAGGGTGGATTGCAACCCGCGGCGCCCCAACTGGCTTCAGCTCCCATTCTCCACAGAATGCCCTGTGGTGTGTTCCGTGGCATGCCCACAGAACTGCCAGGTGGGTGGAGACGCTGGCAGGGTCTCCCCCAGTGTCTCCCTACAGTTCTGTCTTAACCACGGACATCCCGAGCTTTCAGGGAGGCACCGGTGGCCCTGACAGAGCATTGTGTGGTGCATGTAGGAGGAATCTGTTAGCCCCACCTTTGGGAATCTCTTCCTTCCCATGTGGTCCAGCCCCAGGGGCCTGAGGCTACCTGCCTGGCTTGCTTGTCCACCTAACACCTGATTCCCAGGGTGCTGTGTCTTTTCCTCGTCCAATCCTAGTGGGCTGAGTTGAGTGGCCCATGGCACGGCCCTGCAGACTAGCAGGAGTGTCCAAAGCCACAGGGACCAACGCCAGTCCTGGGCAGAGAGCAAGTACTGCCTGTCGGGTGGCAGCACCCACGGGTCAGCCTAGGGCCACAGGGAAGCCACGCCCACTGGGGAGGGAGCTCAGATGGGGTGGCCCCTCTTTGGAGTGTCCCTCGGGCCTCCCTTCCGGAGACTCTCGTGGTGTGGAGTAGAACAAGCCTCGGGGCCTAGTGCCCGGCCCGGGCCCCGCACAGTGCCCGCCGCCCTGCGTAACCTCACCGTAACTGACGCGGGTCGCCACAGGGGAAGCCAAGCGGGCTTTCCCCAGTGTCGCTTTCCAGGCCAGCATGGCTGGTGCCCAGCCCTGTCTTATCCCCTCCCCATCCGCTGCCCACCCTGGCCTGCAGTCTGGGTGTCCTCTGCCCCTCCCCCATCCTGCCCCATCCCCTGGAAGCCCCATCCCCCACCCTGCCAAGTGAAGCTTTAGAGCCCACACTGCTGGTCCTGCTGCCCTGGCTGGACAGCGCCCGGCCCCGGCCACAGTGCGTGGCGTCAGCATGAGGCTGGGGGACATGGCCCAGCCGCAAGTCCTCTGTCCAGGCAATGGCACGTGGAGGCCGAAGGCAGGATACTCTCTAATGGGAGATGGAGAGAATGGACCCTTTCCTCCCTGACCTCGACCCCTAGGTTCCAGAACCTTCTCTGCAGCCTGGAGTCTAATACTCTCCTCTGGGCAGGTGGACGGAGCCCTTGCCTGAGCTGTCAGGACTCTAGCCTCCCCGGGAGCCACAGAGGGCTCTAGACTCTGGTCCACATTTGCTCCCTTCCCCTGTCTGTAACTGCCCGTCTGGTTTCTGGGGGCTGGCCAGGCAGCTGTCCACTCTAGGTCCTGCTGACACCGAGTTCTGGAGGTCACTCTGCCTCTGATTGCTGGGAGCCCCTGGGCCGGGCTGGGCTGCGAGGGAGACGGCTCCCTGTGCTGCAGGGCTCTTCCTCGCCCCTGCGTCCCCTTCATGGGCCTCCCCACACCAGTGGAGGGTGGCCTGCCCAGTAAGGCCCCGTGGGAAGGACCCACACGTAGAGGGAGCTACTCAAGATTCATGTGACTGACGAGTAGTCCTCTGGCCACCGAGTCCCAGTGGTCAGCATTACGGCCTCGAGCTCACTGCCTACTCTGGTCAGCCGACGTGAAGAGTGAAGCAATGGGAAGAGGGGGACGTGCCCCCAAGGCTAGCCCGGGCTGCTGGGAGGCTAGCCTGGACTCCTGCCCTTGCTCTGGTCTAGATGAAAGGCGTGACACTCGAGACCTGCCAGGATATCATCGAGCAGTTTGAGCCCTGCCCGGAAAACAAGAGCAAGGGAGTGCTGGGCATCGATGGTGAGTGGGTGCTGCCCGCAGTCCCGCCGGCCGGGAAGGAAGCCAGGGCCCCGAGCTCCACACGGGGCAGGTGGCCCCGAGAGGACTCCGTGGTGGGGCTGACCCCCCCCCCCCCCCCGCAGGCTTCACCAACTACACCCGGAGCCCTGCCGGCGACATCTTCAACCCTGAGCACTACGGTGTGCACCAGGACATGACGCGACCTCTGAGCCACTACTTCATCACCTCGTCCCACAACACCTACCTCGTGGGCGACCAGCTCATGTCCCAGTCTCGGGTGGACATGTACGCCTGGGTCCTGCAGGCCGGCTGCCGCTGCGTAGAAGGTGAGCCGTCCCGGCCGCTGGCTCCCTGTCCCGCGGGGCCGTCGCCGCCTGGCCAGGGGCTGGGGCCCCAGGGGCCGCCGGGGTCTCTGGGCAGGGTGCGCCATAAGCAAAGAGGGTGGACACCCCCTTTAGTTGGTGTCCTGCCCAGCCTTCCCGGGCCCCCATGGCCAGGACCTGGGGCTGAGGGGTGTGCCTGCCCGCAGTGGACTGCTGGGATGGGCCGGACGGGGAGCCGATCGTGCACCACGGCTACACTCTGACCTCCAAGATCCTCTTCAAAGACGTCATCGAGACCATCAACAAGTACGCCTTCGTCAAGAACGAGTGAGTGGCTGCTCCTCGAGCCGGTTCTGGGAGGGGGAGGCAGTGCTGCCGCTCACGAGGGACTGGGCTTGTTTCAGGGACTTGCTCTGAGGCAGGAGACGGGAGGTGGGAGGGCGGGACACGAAGGACCGATGGCCACATGACAGGCCGAGGTGGCTGGGGGCACGCCTGCTGGGGTCTGTCCACGCGTGCTGGGAGGCAGCGCCCGGCCCCGCGCCCACCGCGGCCGTGGCTCCAGCACTAATTACTCCCGAGAAGTCATTCTGTGTCCAGACTCAATTTGCTGTCACTCAGCTGTGGCTGAAGATACCGCTGAGGAAAATCCAATTTGGGCTCTGGAAATGGAAACCTGCCTCCCGCACTGGTGGCATTTCTTCTGAGCCTTGGCTAAACAAGGCTTTACAGGAAGGAAAGGAGCTGAGTGAAGGAGGCTGCCGAAGCCAGATGGATTTAGGAAATCAAAATAATTGCGGGCGGAGGGACAGCGATGCTCTTGGCATGGTGACTGGAACACACCAGTTTCCTGTGGTCACGATAAAAAAGAGCGAGGGCTCTGCCGCGCCTCGGGTGCGGCCGGCGTATTTACTGCGCCCCCCAAGCCCCAGGCTTTAGGTCTCCGTCTCTTGCCTACGAAATGAGGAGATGAGCCCTGTAGCCCCATCTTCGCATGCCTTCTCCCCAGCCTGTGGCTGCCTGTGTCTCTCTCCGTTACACGCCCTCTCGGTCTGGGTGTGTTTCCTAAGAGGAGCATGGTTGCCTTTGGGTAAAAATCAAAGTGAAATGCGCAGGAGGTGAAAATGAAAATGAAGCTGAAAACCTTCCACTGAACAGCCTCATACCGCTCGGGACAGGTGGTAGCGGCCCCGCAGAACACCCAGATGTTGTAAGCCAGGCCTGTCTCCTCCACAAGACTGGAGGACCTTATGCTCACTCACAGGCTGCTGCTCTGGTGTGCAGGTCAAAGGGATTATGTTGGTTATGTTCTATGCATTGCTTAGTCTGTGCCCTATGTAAGCCATGACTTCTTTTTCAAATGTTTCTTTTGGTTTTCCTAGAGTTTCCAATTGCCTTTGTTTGTTTTTAATTGGGAAAAAACTAAACAAAACAAAATACCAGCCTCCCACCTGTGGCTCACGCCTGCAATCCTAGCTACTCAGGAGGCTGAGATCTGAGGATTGCGGTTCTAAGCCAGCCGCATGGGCAGGAAAGTCCCTGAGACTCTTTTTTTTTTGGTCGTGGGGTTTGAATTCTGGGCTTGGGTGCTGTCCCTCAGCTCTTCAGCTCAAGGCCAGCACTCTACCACTTGAGCCATAGCACCACTTCCAGTTTTCTGAGTGGTTTATTGGAGATGAGTCTCAACGACTTTCCTGCTCAGTCTGGCTTTGAACCATGATCCACAGATCTCAAGCCTCCTGAATAGCTAGGATGACAGGTGTGAGCCACTGGGCGCCCGGCTCCTGAGGCTCTTTTCTCCAATGAACCACCAGAAAACTGGAAGTGACACTGTGGCTCAAGAAGTAGAGCGCTTGCCTTGAGCTGAAGAGCTGAGGGACAGTGCCCAGGTCTAGAGTTCAAGCCCCACGACCAAAATCAAAGCAAAAAAAAACAAAAATAAAAAACACCAAAAGTCATGCTATCTTTACTTGCCTCTAAGCTCTCCCCGCTCCTTTTCTACCCACTGATTTGATTTCCCTCATCGCCACCTTGGGAAGCAGCTGGCTGCCTGCGTGCAGACTTAGCAAAGACTCGATGAGAGGTGACCTGCACCCCGTAGCTGTGGGGCCTCGCGCATCCTCGGCAGGGGCCTGGCCTCACCCTGCTCTTCCCTGGGCTCCCAGATATCCCGTGATCCTCTCCATTGAGAACCACTGCAGCGTGGTCCAGCAGAAGAAGATGGCCCAGTATCTGACGGACATCCTCGGGGACAAGCTGGACCTCTCCTCCGTGAGCGGGGACGACGCCACCTCGTTACCCTCGCCACACATGCTCAGGGGCAAGATCCTAGTCAAGGTGAGCCTGCCACCCGGCCAGGCGTCCGAGGGCAGGTCCGGGGTGAGGGTGGCGGTGCCCCTCGCTGGCCTGATCTCATCGACCTCTGGTAGCCGACCAGTCTCAGGCCCATGTGTGCACACGGAAGCAGGTCCTCTGGTCTGGCCCCGGCCCTTGGCTGAGGTTCCAGAGCCCCTCCCCTACTCCTACGGGTGCCAGCCAGGATTCCCTACCCCACCCCGCACCCTGCCCTGTCCCGTCCCTCCCACTGTCTGCCTCCTCCCCAGGGGAAGAAGCTCCCCGCCACCATCAGCGAGGATGCGGAGGAAGGCGAGGTGTCTGACGAAGATAGCGCCGACGAGATCGACGAGGATTGCAAGCTCCTCAATGGGGATGTGAGTGTGGGCCGAGGGCGGGCGGCGGGCGGGGGTGTGTGAGGCAGAGGGCGTGTGCCGTGGGGGGGGGGGAGGAGGGGGGGCCGAGGACGGGCGGTGTGTGTGTGGGGAGGGGGGGCCGAGGACGGGCGGTGTGTGTGGGGGGGGGTGGGCCGAGGGTGGGCGGTGTGCGGGGGAGGGGGGGGCCGAGGACGGGCGGTGTGCGGGGGGGGGGGCGGGGAGGGCCGAGGGTGGGCGGTGTGCCTGGGAGCCGGGGGGGGGGGGGGCTATGTCCCTGAGAGCAGCCCTTGGTCCTGCCCCATGGCGAGTTAGGGGCTGGCTGCTGACCACGGGCTTGGCTGGGGTCTGTGGGGCCTTCCGAGTGCCCTCCCCACCCCACGAGCCATGAATCCCACGCTCCCGGCCACGGGTCAGCCACACACCTGCTGCCGTCCCGTCTCAGGCCTGGCCCTTGGCCTGGTCCTCTTGACCCTTCGCTGAGCGGGGCCAGGCAGGGAAATCGCTCTGCACTGTTTGTGTCTGCTGGACTCCCCGGCTTCCTGGCCAATCCCATCTGCACCCAGTGTCCAGTGCTCCGCTGGCTACCTGCACCAGCCCCGAGGCCAGCCCTCTGCTGGATGAGCCTGCCCGGCCCCACGCGCGTCACGCTAGTGGGACACCTCGTGTCTTCCTCCCCACGGTGGGCCCGGCCTCCGAGGCCATGGAGGGAAGCCTCCGCGTGGGCCGGGAGCGCTGTGACTCGTGTCTCTGCTCTGAGCTCTGTGCTCAGCCTGCCTCTTCCAGGCAGTGCACACTTGATTCCTCCCTGAGGGCCTTTGGATGGGAAAATAATTGTGCAGGCGGGTGGCTTCCTGGCCAGGGCTGGCTAATTGTTTTTGAACGCCCTGAGGCAGCAGAATTCTTCCTGGCTTGGGTGTGCCTGCTGTGTCTCCAGCTGGCCCGGGGTGGCGATAAACCCCTCCACTGTGATGTCCATTTCGTGCCTGCTCTGGCCTGGGCATCCGGGGTCTGCCCCAGTGTGTGCAAGCCCAGCCTTCCCTCGAGGACCCCCACACGGGCTGCCAGGTCCAGCCTGCACCCCTCCCGTCTGCTCCTCTCCTCCATCCTCTCCCGGTGGAGCAGGGCATGGTAGCCAATGTGGTGTCCCAAGTTCTGCTGTGTACCCCACCTCTGCAAAGACCCACGGGAAGGGTCGCCTGTACACAAGCTGTCAGCTGCAGCTCAGACAGAATTGTCACTGAGTACATCCCGGGGGCCTGGGCCTACATTCTGCTTGGAGCGGCCTGCCGGCAGGCCCTGTGGTCAGTGGCAGCTTCTGTGAGCTGTGTGTGTGTGTGTGTGTGTGTACACGTGTGTGAGCGCGCTCGCGCGCAGGTCCCCTGGGGGCTGTCACCTGATGCTGCCCACAGACCTGGGGACAGTGCCAACGGCTGGCTCCGGGCCCCTGCAGGCCTCTACCAACCGCAAGCGGGTGGAAAGCATTGCCAAGAAGAAGCTGGATTCTCTCATCAAGGAGTCAAAGATCCGTGACTGCGAGGATCCCAACGACTTCACCGTCTCCACGCTGCCCCCACCTGGAAAACTCGGGCACAAAGCCGAGGCCAAAAAGGTGAGACCCCTGAGCCACGGTGGGCTGCACGAGGGACTCGGGGCGTGTGCACACCCTGCACGCACCCTGCCCCTGCAGACCTGAGCACAACGGCACCACACGCACCGGTGTACCCGCCCCCACGCACACACGCAGCACATCACGTGTGCATGCCTGCTTGTGCACAACTCCACATATGCCTGTGCCCACACCTTCAGCGGTGCACACTTGCATGCACGCACATTCATGCACACGCCTGTATACACACATACAGCAACAACACATCTCTGCACAACAGGATTGTACACACACCTATACATGTATCTCTGTGCACACCAACACTTGCCGGCCCACACACAGCGTCCTGCATGCCTGTGCACACTCTACACACACCTGGCACACACGTGGTGTCCTCGGGAGGCCCGCGGCTCCTGGTGGAGGGCGAGTGGAGCGTTGCCCGCTTTAGTGAAGGTGGCGGAGTGGCAGGGAGGGCTCAGCAGGTTCTCAAATCCCAGCCGGTCCCTCGTGCGGTCCAGCTGGTGGGGACACAGCCACACTCCTTGGACTCGCCCAGGTGCACAGGGCCAGTCAGGTGGGGACGATGCTCACCGGGGACTCATCAGGGGCCTGCTGAAGGTGTTTGGGGAGGGGCCAGGCTGAGTGGTCAGGAGCACTTTGGAGGGGCAGCCAGCCTTGAAGGCCGGCAGTATCAGCCAGGTGGCCTACAAAGGAGCTGGGTAGCAGCTGGCCTGTGACAGGCGGGCAGCTGGCCTATTCCAGGGTGGCTGTGACAGGTGGACAGCTGGCCTTGGACTGGGCAGGGGGTCTGCAGGGCAAACAGGCTGTGGCATCTCCCAGAGCTCGGGGTCTGGTCTGCTTACCTCACCCACCTATGTCTTGCAGGCCATGGCTGGGGGAGGGGGGGCGATGCGCTGGGGGTGTGGCCCCTGCTGGGCCCGGTACTTTTAGAGGTGGTTGTCCGTGTGCTCACCCACAGCCCATGTTGCCAGAGCTAACACGGGCCCCGTCGCGGGCACGCAGCCTTCCTGTGTCTTTGGTGTCAAGCACCATCCCGCACAGAGCAGCTGCAGCTCCATCTAGCCAGGTGGGGAGTGACATTAGACTCAGATGTCCCTTGGCAAGCCGTTCCTGGGGAGGGGGCGCTCGGGGTGCACAGGAGAGCAGCCGAGCCCTGGCTCCTGGGGAGGGGGCGCTCGGGGTGCACAGGAGAGCAGCCGAGCCCTGGCTCCTGGGGAGGGGGCGCTCGGGGTACACAGGAGAGCAGCCGAGCCCTGGCTCCTGGGGAGGGGGCGCTCGGGGTGCACAGGAGAGCAGCCGAGCCCTGGCTCCGTCATGTTGGCAGCTGCTGGTCCTGTGCTCCTGCTGAGACACCCAGGGGGCCCCACGCCGCCAGGTCTCTCCCGGCACGAGATCCCTGGGGCGGCAGGGATCTGCAGAGTGGAGAGTGACCAGGAGGTCCACGGGAAGCCCCTGGGGGGGGGGTCCAGGCAGACAGAGGATCGGTGTGGGACAATTCCACCTGAAGTTCCTTGGGCCTTTCTATGGCGGGGGCAGGCTGCCAGCCCCTCCGTACCTGAACCTCAGGGGGTTCCTTGTGAGGAATGCTGGGGGTAGCAGGCAGATCACTAGTGGGCCAGGAGATCCTAGCAGCATAGGTGTCTGTCCCCTCTGCTGGGGGCCCTGCCACCCTCCGTGACCGGGGGAAGACCCTCCAGCCTTGTTCTCTCTGCTGCTTGTGGCCACGTGTGGCTGGCGACGGCAGTGCTTTGGGGGAGAAGCTGGAAGCGCCCCTCAGCACACTACCTCAAGCAGCTCCCGCGATACCAGGTGCAACTCTGCCACTCCATGTGCTGCGGCTGGCGGCCCGTGCTGCGGCCGGGGACACAGACGTCGCTAAAGGCCGATCAGCCCCTGATGGCCCCGGACCTCAGACTCTGTGACTGCACCGTGGGCTCACGGCCTGTGGGATCTGCTGACTAGGAGGGCGGGGCCAGCAAGGCTGCATGGCCACGGGGCATCAGGAAGGGTCAGCCGCTCTGGAGATGACCCCCAGAGGCAGGAGGCAGGGGCGGGGCTCAGAGCGGTGGGGGGGAGCTTCACGCCGCACCACCTGCACTTGACAGGTGTGGGGTGCACTTATCTGGTGTGGGGCCTGCATTCAGCACTGCGCTCCGTGTCCAGTGTGCTCCTGAGGCAGTGTGTGTCTGTGTCTGTGTGTGGGCATGTGTGTGCATGTGTGGTGTGTGTCTCTGAGCGTATATGCATGTGTGTGGTGTGTGCATGTCTGTGTGTGTCTCTGAGCGTATATGCATGTGTGTGGTGTGTGCATGCTTGTGTGTCTCTGAGCGTATATGCATGTATGTGGTGTGTGCATGTCTGTGTGTCTCTGAGCGTATATGCATGTGTGTGGTGTGTGCATGTCTGTGCGTCTCTGAGCGTATATGCATGTGTGTGGTGTGTGCGTGCGTGTCTCTGAGCGTATATGCATGTGTGTGGTGTGTGCATGTCTGTGTGTGTCTCTGAGCGTATATGCATGTGTGTGGTGTGTGCGTGTGTGTCTCTGAGCGTATATGCATGTGTGTGGTATGTGCATGTCTGTGTGTCTCTGAGCGTATATGCATATGTGTGGTGTGTGCGTGTGTCTCTGAGCGTATATGCATGTGTGTGGTGTGTGCATGTCTGTGTCTCTGAGTATATATGCATGTGTATGGTGTGTGCGTGTGTCTCTGAGCGTATATGCATGTGTGTGGTGTGTGCATGTCTGTGTGTGTCTCTGAGCGTATATGCATGTGTGTGCTGTGTGCATGTCTGTGTGTGTCTCTGAGCGTATATGCATGTGTGTGGTGTGTGCGTGAGTGTGTGTCTCTGAGCATATATGCATGTGTGTGGTGTGTGCATGTCTGTCTGTGTCTCTGAGTATATATGCATGCGTGTGGTGTGTGCGTGCGTGTGTGTCTCTGAGCGTATATGCATGTGTGTGGTGTGTGCGTGTGTGTGTGTCTCTGAGCATATATGCATGTGTGTGGTGTGTGCATGTCTGTGTGTGTCTCTGAGTGTATATGCATGTGTGTGGTGTGTGCATGTCTATCTGTGTCTCTGAGTATATATGCATGCGTGTGGTGTGTGAGTGCATGTGTCTCTGAGTGTATATGCATGTGTGTGGTGTGTGCATGTCTGTGTGTGTCTCTGAGCGTATATGCATGTGTGGTGTGTGCGTGCGTGTGTGCAGGTTTGGGTGTTTGGGTAGCACAGCTCGCACTCTCACCTGTGCAGTGCAGGGGTGCATGTGGCGTGTCTGCCCCCAGCTGTTACCTGGCTGCAGACGCACGTCTGTCCACAGCCCCCATCCCCGGGAGAGGCTGCGGTGGGGCAGGGCCCGCTGAGCTCAGTGGTGGCGCCGGGTGCCTGAGCAGGGCTAGCCTGGCCGGGGGGGGGGGGGGGGGGGAGGAGAGGAGGCTGCCGTGGCCTTGGAGAAGCCGGGGCACCGTCTCCCCACGGCTCAGTGGGAACAAGTTCATGATGGTTGCAAAGATTTTGAGGTGGGGGCCGGGCCATGGGCTGGGGCCGGGAGGGGGCTTGCTCTGCTGCTGGGCCGCGTTCGGGAGCAGCCCTGTGTGATTGGTCTGCTGAGGGAACCCCTGGCCCTGCGCGGAGCAGGCAGGTGATCAGAGGCCCCCCTGGCAAGCATGGCCTCTGCCGGCTCAGCTGGAGAATCCCAGCCGAAAACGCATTCACAGCAGTCCTCTCCCACAGAAAAGAGCGTCAGAATGGCGTCCTTGAGTTTAAGACCACACATTATGAGAAGCTGGTGTGGGCGTGTGATTGGACATAGTCCTGACCCCATCCTGCTGTCCTGACCCCGTCCTGCTGTCCTGACCCCATCCTGCTGTCCTGACCCAATAATGCTGTCCTGACCCTGGTCCTGCTGTCCTGACCCTGTCCTGCTGTCCTGACCCTGTCCTGCTGTCCTGACCCCGTCCTGCTGTCCTGACCCAATAATGCTGTCCTGACCCCGTCCTGCTGTCCTGACCCTGTCCTGCTGTCCTGATCCTGTCCTGCTGTCCTGACCCCATCCTGCTGTCCTGACCCAATAATGCTGTCCTGACCCTGGTCCTGCTGTCCTGACCCCGTCCTGCTGTCCTGACCCTGTCCTGCTGTCCTGACCCCATCCTGCTGTCCTGACCCAATAATGCTGTCCTGACCCTGGTCCTGCTGTCCTGACCCTGTCCTGCTGTCCTGACCCTGGTCTGTCCTCCTGTCCTGACCCTGGTCCTGCTGTCCTGACCCTGTCCTGCTGTCCTGACCCAATAATGCTGTCCTGACCCCGTCCTGCTGTCCTGACCCCGTCCTGCTGACCTGACCTGATCTGACCCCATCCTGCTGTCCTGATCCCGTCCTGCTGTCCTGACCCCATCCTGCTGTCCTGACCCCATCCTGCTGTCCTGACCCTGGTCCTCCTGTCCTGACCCTGGTCTGTCCTCCTGTCCTGACCCTGGTCCTGCTGTCCTGACCCTGTCCTGCTGTCCTGACCCTGCTCAGTCCTGCTGACCTGACCCTGGTCCTGCTGTCCTGACCCTGGTCTGTCCTTCTGTCTTGACTCTGGTCCTCCTGTCCAGTCTCCAGCCCCACTGTCCTGATCCCAGCCCACTTCCCACCTTGCTCTCGGGCTGGCTCAGGTCATTCTCTTCCAGGAAGGCCTTCTGGGGCCACCAGGGAGCTGCCCTACCCCGGCTGGCTGGTTTGAGTCTGGGCTTACACTCTACCCATGTCTCCTAGGGGCAGAGCAGGGCCGAGGAGGACGTGGAGTCTGGGGAAGACACCGGCACCGGCAGGCGGAACAACCGCCTTCTCATGAGCAGCTTCTCCAAGCGCAAGGTGAACGGAGCTCTGAATCAGATCCCACGCATGGGGTCCTCCGCCCACCCCAGGACGGGGTCCCGCACATGGGGTCCTCCATCCACCCCAGGACGGGGTCCCGCGCATGGGGTCCTCCATCCACCCCAGGACGGGGTCCCGCGCATGGGGTCCTCCGCCCACCCCAGGACGGGTCCCGTGCATGGGGTCCTCCATCCACCCCAGGACGGGGTCCTGCACATGGGGTCCTCCATCCACCCCAGGACGGGTCCCGTGCATGGGGTCCTCCATCCACCCCAGGACGGGGTCCCGCGCATGGGGTCCTTTGTTCACCCCAGGACGGGGTCCCGCACATGGGGTCCTCCATCCACCCCAGGACGGGGTCCTGTGCATGGGGTCCTCCATCCACCCCAGGATGGGGTCCTGCACATGGGGTCCTCCATCTACCCCAGGAGGGGTCCTGCGCATGGGGTCCTCCGCCACCCCAGGACGGGGTCCTGCACATGGGGTCCTCCATCTACCCCAGGAGGGGTCCCGCACATGGGGTCCTCCGCCACCCCAGGAGGGGGTCCCGCACATGGGGTCCTCCACCACCCCAGGTGCAAGCTGTCGCTGGACCAGGGCTGGTCAGGAGCCACTGTCTGGGTGACCCTCTGGTCACGTCTCTCCATAGCCTACAGCTGTGGAGCCAGTGCCAGGGCCAGGTGGAGCAGGACACGCAGATCAGCACGGGGTGGGAGGTGGGGTGAACTTCTCCTGCGCCCCCCTGCCCTGGGCCCTGGCCTGGCCTGACCTCGGGCTCCTCACAGAAAAAGGGCAGCAAGATAAAGAAGGCGGCCAGCGTGGAAGAGGGAGACGAAGACCTGGACGCCCCGGGAGGCCAGAGCCGAGGGTCAGTGCCCTGCTGTGGCAGACTTCTGTCCAGTCCCAGGGTCCGCCAGCCATGGACCCCTCACCCATCTCTCAGGGGCTCCTGGGAGGCTGGACAGGGTGCTTCTCCCCACCACCCCGTAGACCTCCGAGGAGGCAGAGGGGGCTGAGGCTCTGGGGCTGGGGCTGGGGCACAGATCTGTGTGCGGCTAGGACTCTGCAGCTGGGGCACCAGGACTGGGCCGCCTGATCCCAAGGGACCCCCCGGCCCTGCTCTGCCTCCCAGGACGTAGCTCCCACCCCTCCCCGAGCGCCCGCCCCACGCCTTGCCCAGGGCCACATCTGTTCCTGGCCCTCCCAGCCCCTGCTCGCATCTCTGCCAGCTTCCCAGAGCATCTCCGGGTCTCACCAGCATTTCACACCTCCAATTCCAACTTGGAGGCCCCCAAATCATCCTCCCACCCCCACCGCTCCCCTCCCATCTCTCTCTCAGGGCTGCACATAGTCCCTGCTACCCTCACCCCCAGGTCCTCTCCCTGTGGTACCTGACTACACCCCTCAGCACTCCCACATGGCTGGCAGCCCCCCCCCCCACCTGCTGATGAGTTCCAGGACCTTTACACTTACTGGTAGCTCCCAGCCAGGCCATGCCCAGCAGTGCCTTTCCACGGTCCCCATGTGGCCTGGTTGTCTGCCCTGGGCAGAGCCGGTGCCTGCCCCCACTGCACACCGTCTCGAGGCCTGGCTGCTGGAGAGCAGAGGGCCCGTCCCGGGGTCCGGGCCAAGCTGCCAGGCCAGGCCCCAGCCCGCTCTGAAGGGCCTGGCCCCTGCCACCCACAGGACGGCCAGGCAGAAGAAGACCATGAAGCTGTCCCGGGCCCTCTCCGACCTGGTGAAGTACACCAAGTCCGTGGGTTCCCACGATGTGGAGACGGAGGGTGAGGGCCGTGTGGCGGGCGGGTGGTGTGGGAGGTGGCCCGGCCCAGCATGCATGCGTCCAGCGCAGCGCGGACTCACGCGGTCACCGCCACAGTGGCGTCCAGCTGGCAGGTGACATCCTTCAGCGAGACCAAAGCCCACCAGATCCTGCAGCAGAGGCCAGCCCAGTACCTGCGCTTCAACCAGCGCCAGCTCTCCCGCATCTACCCCTCCTCTTACCGCGTGGACTCCAGCAACTACAACCCACAGCCCTTCTGGAATGCCGGCTGCCAGATGGGTGGGTGCTCGGCTGACGGCGGGGGGCGGGGGTAGTTAGGAGTGCGCACGTGGGGCCCCATCCTGTTTCGCCCTCTCACCCTTACCCAACCATGGCTTTGGAGAACATCTAGGCCTGTCACCAGTTCCACTAGGCCAGTGCCGGGGTGGACGCTGAGACCCCCAGGCCCGCTGGGAGAGTCCAGGTCTGCACCTGTGCGGCTAGAATGTCGGGTGCCTGTGATCCTTCTGACAGAATGCAGGGCCCCCTGCTCTTGGCTGAGCTCCAGAGCCCTTGCTGAGAGGCTACATAGAGTCCGGGGCGGGGGGCTGGCACGGCGGATGGCCACTGACCCCCACAGCCCAGTGACCTCCCTTTGCAGTTGCCCTGAACTACCAGTCCGAGGGGAGAATGCTGCAGCTGAACCGCGCCAAGTTCAGTGCCAATGGCGGCTGTGGCTATGTGCTCAAGCCCCCGTGCATGTGCCAGGGTAAGGCCTGGCACCTTGGGGCCCTGGGGGGGGACGGGGGGCAGGATGGGTGGGATCAGCTGCCAGGATGCTGAGTGGTGTGGGGGTGCCCAGCAAAGGGGAGTGGGGAATTAGGCAGTCCTCCCCTCCCCGGGCTCTGGGACTGCAGATGCAGGGCAGGACTTCTTGGAGGGATCTAGGGCTGTCTGTGGGGCGCAGGCCCAGGTGCTGTGGACCAAGCCACCCTCGCAAGGCCTATTGGGAGCTCAGCCTGAGGGTTCCCTTCCAATTCCACTCCGTTTTGGTTGTGTTGAACTGACTTGCTGCGATGTGGCGTTGCTGGGATGTTCCAGCCTGCAGGAGTATGACCGGAGCCCCGCCCAGCCCAGCCACGCCCGGCCCGTGTGTGGCTCTGCCTCACGCCCACAATCCTCCCAGGTGTCTTTAACCCCAACTCCGAGGACCCGCTGCCCGGGCAGCTCAAGAAGCAGCTGGCCCTGAGGATCATCAGCGGGCAGCAGCTGCCCAAGCCCCGGGACTCCATGCTGGGTGACCGTGGAGAGGTAGAGAGGAGCTCCCACGGGTGGGCCGGGCCGTGGGGGCCCTGAGCCCGGCTCCACTCCTCATCCTGTTCCCAGATCATCGACCCTTTTGTGGAGGTGGAGGTCATCGGGCTCCCGGTGGACTGCAGCAAGGAGCAGACTCGAGTGGTGGACGACAATGGTGAGCGTCTGGGGTGGGGTGGGGGAGCGCGCTGGCCCGGGGCCCAAGGCTGTCTCTCTGCGTTGGTGATGACAGACTGACCCCAGAGGGCAGCTGGGCCGCCTGCCCTGTGTCCACGGCCCGTCCAGTGTGGGTCCCCTCTGATGGGTGGAGGCCCTCCTCCCAATGCCTGTAGGATTCAACCCCATGTGGGAGGAGACCCTGGTGTTCACTGTGCACATGCCCGAGATCGCACTCATCCGCTTCCTGGTCTGGGACCACGACCCCATTGGGCGGGATTTCATCGGCCAGAGGACGCTGGCTTTTAGCAGCATGATGCCAGGTGGGCAGGGGCCCTGGGTGCTGGGGGACTCTCCAGGGGGGCTGGGGAGTCTGAGGGCTCCTCCCTGCAGGTGACATCTGCCGCGGGTGGGCCTGGGACTGCAGGCATCCTCGGAGCTGGCCTGGCAGACCAGGGGTGGGCAAGGGCGGGCGCTGCGTGTGGGGTCACCCCAGAGCAAGGCCGGTGGAGGCCTGGCGGAGAAGGTGAGCCTCCAGGACCCGCTCCCCGGTCTGCTCAGGGCCTGAGGACCTCTGGAGAGAGGTCCGCACCCCTCACACGCGACGCCCTGCTCTGCCAGGCTACCGGCACGTGTACCTGGAAGGGATGGAAGAGGCGTCCATCTTCGTGCACGTGTCTGTCAGTGACATCAGCGGTAAGGTGAGCGGCACCTGCGGGAGCTGTGGCTGGGGGAAGGGCGGCACCGGCCCCAGCAGCGCCCCACGGCTGCTCCTGAGCCTGCTGGGCCGCCGGGGCCTGGCAGTCCTTCCGCGGGCCTCCTCCACGTGTGACACAGGTGCTGGCAGTGCTTGGCCTCCCGTCCGGAGGTGGACGTGGCCGGGGGGTCGTCCCTGCCCGCCCGGGGGCTCCCTCCTGCTCTTGGAGTTGCTAGCGAGACCTCTCTCGGTGGCCTCACCCAGGCCCACCCGGCTTCTTGGGGACCATGGAGAACAGGGTCCCTTCCTGTGGCTCTCCTTTTCTTTCTAGAGCCTTCCCTCAGCTTCGACTTTCAGAGTGGCCAGCAAGGCATCTGCCTGGGTTTGCCCATGATCCCAGCCCCTGCTACCCCCGGGCCAGGGTGAGGTGGGGTCTCGATCCATGGCTCTCCCCGCCCCCTTTCTACGTGTCTGGCACCCCTCTGGGCCCAGGCCGGCTGGCACTCGGTTCTGCCTGGCCTGCCACTGACTTTCTCTCTTTTGCTGCGCCCGGGGGCCCGGAGGCTCTGTAGGTGTCTCCGGTCCTCTGCTACCGTCCTTCTGTGTGTCACGTGTCTGCCTGTCACCCGGGGCCGGTGGGTCCCTCCCTGGCCAGCACCGCCTCACCTGCCTTCACTCTGTCTCTTTGGTCTTGCAGTGGGCTTCTCTATGTCCCAAGTCTACCTTTAGAAGCACAGCCTTGTTAGGCATCTCGAAGGTACCGGGTGCCTCGGGACGGTGGAGCCCGGTGGTGCCTCACCTGCATGCCAGGCTGCGCCCCCATTAGCATCTGTGATTCCTGGTAGCATCTTGGAGATTGTCAGCTCATGGGACATGGGTCATGACAGGGCGCCGGGGTCTCCTGGGCCATCCTCAGCCAGAGAGTGGCATTTATGAGGCAGATCCAGGATTTCGCCAGGGCCAGGGCCCTTCCTGCTTCCGGCCAACCTCCCTCCACACCAGGCCTGCCCGTCCTCTGCCCTCTTCTCCGAGTGCTGCTCTCTGGGGGCGCCGTGGGCCGCCTGCCCCTCCGCCTCCTGCTCCCCAGTCTGCTCCTCCTGCTGTTGTTTCTCTTCAGTCGACACCGGGGTTCCCAACGGGGCGTCCCCGCCGCCACTCCAAACCTGAATCCTGGATCTCCCTCTAAATGGCTTTCCAGCCACCGTGACCAAATTGCACTGGATTTGGATCTTGAATCGGGAAGCTGATTCAAGTGCTAGCCACATGATCACCTCCCCCAGAGGGCTCACGCCTGCTGGGCGCTGGGTTCGGGGCTGGTGGCACCGGCACAGCCCATCTCGGGGGCGTGGTTGGTGCGTGGGGTCTCTGGGGCACGGGTATGTGGCATGTGATGAGGGTTGTTCTGGTCATGGCCCCCTCCAGCGGTACCCTGGGCAGGGGTCTCCAGCCCAGCCATCCAGGAAAGGTGTTGGCGGGCCAGATGCCCCAGCCCAACTGTGGACCTGCGGGGAGCCAGCCGTGGACCAGGAGGGTTTGGGGGGACGGGGAGCAGGGAGCAGGCGAGACTGATGACTGCCCGGGAGAATTCAGGAGGGCTTCCCGGGAGGGGCAATTCTTTCAGGAGCCAGGATCAGCACCTGGGGACCGGGCAGGGCCATGGAAACCAGGCCTCCCTGCAGCCCTTGAGCCTGCTTCCTGGCTGCGGGCACCCGTGGTGGGAGGCGTTGAGGAGGGATGCCGCCCTCGGCGAAGACGGGGCTGCGGCTCTGAGGAACAGGGGAGAGCGCAGTGACTGGTCTAGGGTGGCGGCCTGGCCCTGAGAGAACCCGGGCAAGCTGTCTTCCCCATCCTTGTTCTGATCTCGACTTGGAGTTGGAGAAGGGGCAGGGTCTCAGTCTGAGGGGTGGGGTCCTGCCGGCCCGATGGAGCTGCTGCGGCCCCGCGTCCTGTGGCCGGGCAGCGAGGAAGGCAGCCGGGGACCGCCGCTCCAGCTGTCCACAGTGGCCGGGCGCGCGCTGGCTGGCTATGCAGGCTCTTTCTCTTGCAGGTCAAGCAGGCTCTGGGGCTAAAAGGTCTCTTCCTCCGCGGCCCAAAGCCAGGCTCGCTGGACAGTCATGCTGCTGGGCAGCCCCCACCCCGGCCCTCCGTTAGCCAGCGGCTCCTGCGGCGCACGGCCAGCGCCCCAGCCAAGAGCCAGAAGCCCAGCCGCAAGGGCTTTCCAGAGCTGGCCCTGGGCACTCAGGACGTGGGCTCGGAGGGGGCGGCAGACGACGTGGCCGCCCCCAGCCCTGCCCCCGAGGCCCCGGCTCCCAGGGGGTCGGGCGGCAGCAGCCCCCGAGGTAAGGCACCAGCAGCAGCGGCAGCAGGGCGGAGCCTGGCTCCGGCACGCCCCCCTCGTGCCCCGGAGGGCCCGGGACCTGCGGGGATGGCTGCCACGTGCATGAAGTGTGTGGTGGGCTCCTGTGCCGGTGTGGACGCCGAGGGTCTGCGCAGGGAGCGGCCACCGAGCCCCGGGCCTGTGGGCGGGCACGCGGCCATCAGCCAACAGCCCCAGGCCCGGGGGGAGTCCCTGGGCCCCGGAGCCCCCCCAGGGAGGAGCAGAGAGGCCCTCAAGGGCCCCAGGGCCCCACGGCAGGGGCCGGGTGGCGGCGGCTCTGTGTCTTCAGGCTCCAGCAGCCCGGACAGCCCAGGCAGCCCCAAGGGGGCCCTCTGCCCGCCTGAGGGCCCCCACAGGCAGCAGGGGGCCTTGCAGGGAGAGATGAACGCCTTGTTCGTTCAAAAGCTGGAGGAGATCAGAAGCCACTCCCCCATGTTCTCCACGGGTAAGGCCTGCCACCTCCTCCCGCACCCGGCATGCCTGGACCTCTGCCGCCCGCTGTGCTGTGTGCCTCTGCTCCACCGCACTCCCTCCGCTTGGCCTCTGGCCCCTCCGCTCTGCCCAAGAAGCCCTGGTGCCTTGTGGGATGGGGCCAGGGGAGTGTGCATCTGGCCCCCAGGCGGACAGAGGGCCCAGGGCCCAGGCCTCTCTGGGCAGGCTCCAGCAAGCCTTCCCTGGCCTGGGCCTACCTTCCTGGGTCTGGTGGCTTTCAGCTCCCACCATGCCCACCTCCAGGGCCAGGCTCCAGGCCTGCCTAGAACCCTCCCTGGAGCCCCGCGCAAGTCAGGGTGCAGCTGCAGGCCACCCCAGACGCCCTGGAGGCCCCGGGTGGCACCCAGCACCTCCAGGGCGGCACGGCAAAGCCCCAGGGCCAGGCCCCGCATGCTTGGGTGCCCTGGCTGCCCACAGCCCTGCCAGTTCAGGTGGGAGATCAGCGGGAGCAGCCCCAGCGGCTGGCCTGCACCTGGTCACTGGAGTCCGGGTGGGAGGGAGCTGCACCCAGCCTGCCTCCACCGCCTCCTCCCTGCCCCTTCCTGGCCTTGCTGTCCGTCTGTCCACCCACCAGCCCAGCCCTTGCTGACCATGTTCTCCTTTCTGTCCCTGCACCCTGTGCGGCCTCCATAGTTAGGGACTGAGAGCTGCAAGTGCCAGGTAATGGGCCCCGCCCCCACAAGCCCTATGCACCCGTCACCCCGTCCCCACACGCCCTGTGCACCCGTCACCCCGCCCCCATGCGACCTGTGCACCCCCGTCACCCCATCACCCCGCCCCCACACGCCCTGTGCACCCGTCACCCCATCACCCCGCCCCCACACGCCCTGTGCACCCGTCACCCCATCACCCTGCCCCCACACGCCCTGTGCACCCGTCACCCCATCACCCCGCCCCCACACGCCCTGTGCACCCGTCACCCCATCACCCTGCCCCCACACGCCCTGTGCACCCGTCACCCCATCACCCCGCCCCCATGCACCCTGTGCACCCCCGTCACCGTCACCCCACCCCCACGCGCCCTGTGCACCCCCATCACCCCGCCCCCACACGCCCTGTGCACCCGTCACCCCGCCCCCATGCGACCTGTGCACCCCCGTCACCCCATCACCCCGCCCCCACACGCCCTGTGCACCCGTCACCCCATCACCCCGCCCCCACACGCCCTGTGCACCCGTCACCCCATCACCCCGCCCCCATGCACCCGTCACCCCATCACCCCGCCCCCACACGCCCTGTGCACCCGTCACCCCATCACCCCGCCCCCACACGCCCTGTGCACCCGTCACCCCATCACCCCGCCCCCACACGCCCTGTGCACCCGTCACCCCATCACCCCGCCCCCACACGCCCTGTGCACCCGTCACCCCATCACCCCGCCCCCATGCGCCCTGTGCACCCCGTCACCCCGCCCCCATGCGCCCTGTGCACCCCATCACCCCGCCCCCATGCGCCCTGTGCACCCCGTCACCCCGCCCCCATGCACCCGTCACCCCCGTCACCCCGCCCCCATGCGCCCTGTGCACCCCCGTCACCGTCACCCCACCCCCACGCGCCCTGTGCACCCCCGTCACCCCGCCACCATGCGCCCTGTGCACCCCCGTCACCCCATCCCCATGCGCCCTGTGCACCCGTCACCCCCGCCCCCATGCGCCCTGTGCACCCCGTCACCCCGCCCCCACACGCCCTGTGCACCCGTCACCCCCGTCACCCCGCCCCCACGCGCCCTGTGCACCCGTCACCCCCGTCACCCCGCCCCCATGCACCCTGTGCACCCGTCACCCCATCACCCCGCCCCCACGCGCCCTGTGCACCCGTCACCCCCGTCACCCCGCCCCCATGCACCCTGTGCACCCGTCACCCCGCCCCCATGAGCCCTGTGCACCCGTCACCCCGTCACCCCACCCCCATGCGCCCTGTGCACCCGTCACCCCATCACCCCGCCCCCACGCGCCCTGTGCACCCCCGTCACCCCGCCCCCATGCGCCCTGTGCACCCCATCACCCCGCCCCCATGCGCCCTGTGCACCCGTCACCCCCGTCACCCCGCCCCCGTGCGCCCTGTGCACCCGTCACCCCCGTCACCCTACCCCCACACGCCCTGTGCACCCCGTCACCCCATCACCCCGCCCCCACACGCCCTGTGCACCCCGTCACCCCATCACCCCGCCCCCACGCGCCCTGTGCACCCCCGTCACCCCGCCCCCATGCGCCCTGTGCACCCCCGTCACCCCATCACCCCGCCCCCATGCGCCCTGTGCACCCGTCACCCCCGTCACCCCGCCCCCACACGCCCTGTGCACCCGTCACCCCGCCCCCAAGCGCCCTGTGCACCCCCGTCACCCCGCCCCCATGCACCCTGTGCACCCCCGTCACCCCGCCCCCAAGCGCCCTGTGCACCCCCGTCACCCCACCCCCATGCACCCTGTGCACCCCGTCACCCCGCCCCCATGCACCCGTCACCCCGTCACCCCCGCCCCCATGCGCCCTGTGCACCCCGTCACCCCCGTCACCCCGCCCCCATGCACCCTGTGCACCCCGTCACCCCGCCCCCATGCGTCCTGTGCACCCCCGTCACCCCCGCCCCCATGCGCCCTGTGCACCCCGTCTCCCCGCCCCCATGCGCCCTGTGCACCCCGTCACCCCGCCCCCATGCGCCCTGTGCACCCCGTCACCCCCGCCCCCATGCGCCCTGTGCACCCCGTCACCCCGCCCCCATGCGCCCTGTGCACCCCCGTCACCCCGCCCCCACACGCCCTGTGCACCCGTCACCCCGCCCCCAAGCGCCCTGTGCACCCCCGTCACCCCGCCCCCATGCACCCTGTGCACCCCCGTCACCCCGCCCCCAAGCGCCCTGTGCACCCCCGTCACCCCACCCCCATGCACCCTGTGCACCCCGTCACCCCGCCCCCATGCACCCGTCACCCCGTCACCCCGCCCCCATGCGCCCTGTGCACCCCGTCACCCCGTCACCCCGCCCCCATGCACCCTGTGCACCCCGTCACCCCGCCCCCATGCGTCCTGTGCACCCCCGTCACCCCGCCCCCATGCGCCCTGTGCACCCCGTCTCCCCGCCCCCATGCGCCCTGTGCACCCCGTCACCCCGCCCCCATGCGCCCTGTGCACCCCGTCACCCCGCCCCCATGCGCCCTGTGCACCCCGTCACCCCGCCCCCATGCGCCCTGTGCACCCCGTCACCCCCGCCCCCATGCGCCCTGTGCACCCCGTCACCCCATCACCCCGCCCCCATGCACCCTGTGCACCCCGTCACCCCCGCCCCCATGCACCCTGTGCACCCCGTCACCCCACCCCCATGCCCTGTGCCCGTCACCCCACCGCCCGCCCTGTACGCCCACCACCCCCACCCCACACACTGTGTGCAGCCCTCGCCCCAACATCCGTCTCCAGAGCACCCTGAGCGGCTGCCGGCGGCCCTGTGGACCCTGCGTGGCATGGGGCCCATGAATCTGGCGTTTGCCCCTGGCCCCAGCGGCATGGGGGGTGCTGGGTGTGCACAGATGGCCAGGCTGGCCAGTGGGGGGTGGGGGGGACCTGGGGTGGGCCTGACCTTGGCACAGGGTCGGGGGCCTCCAGTCCTTGACTCGATTCTCTCTCTCCCCCCAATCTCCCCTTTTCCTGTCCCTCCCTCACTCTGCCCCATCTCTGCCTGTCTTCCGCCATCTCCCTTTTTCTGTGTCTTTCCGTCTCCCTTTGGTCTCGGTCTCCCCTTTCTCTCTCTGCCCTCCCTTTGTGCTCCCTACCTTTCTGCACCCTGTTTCCATCCGCATCTCCCTCTGTCCCTCTCCCCTCCACCCAGATGCCCGCCTCTTCCCCATGCAGCGGCCAGTCTCCCCACCGCGCAGCCTGGAAACCATCGCCGAGGAGCCAGCGCTGGGCCCTGGGCTCCCACCACGGGCGGCCTCCCCCGCCGGCCCCTCCCGGGAAGGGCCACGGGGCCCTACGGGCCCTGGGGGCAGAGTGGGAGCTTCCGCGCCCCTCCAGGTCCGGACAGGGGACAACAAAGAGGCCCTGTGCACGCTGCACAGTGGTGGAGGCCCCCGGGGGACGGACGGCAAGGCCCTCCCACAGGTCCTGGGCCATCTGCCCAGGGTCCGAAGGGCCAAGAGTGAGGGCCAGGTGCTCCCAGAACCCCTGGGCGCCTGGCGGCTCCTGGGCGGGCCCACCCCTGCGCCCTCGGTCTACTCAGACGCCACAGGCGGCGACCGGTTGTGGCAGCGGCTGGAGCCCGGCAGCCACCGTGACAGCGTGTCCTCGTCCTCGAGCATGTCGTCCAGCGACACCGTCATTGACCTGTCCCTTCCGAGCCTGGGCCTGGGGCGCAGCCGCGAGAGCCTGCTGGGGGTCCCATTTGGACGCTTGCCCTCTCGGTCCGGTTCGGCCTCCGCTACCCGCCGGGACCCGCCTCCGGTGACCAAAAGCAAATCCAACCCCAACCTGCAGGCCGCGAGCCAGCGGCTGCCTTCCGGCGCGGACCAGCTGCGGGGCCAGCGACAGGGCCTGCCCCTGGGGGGCCCGCGGGATGGCCCCACGGCGGCCAAGTCCCAGAGCCTGGGGGACCTGACGGCCGACGACTTCGGCCCTGGCTTGGAGAGTGGCTCGCGCAGCCTGAGCCGTGGCCTGGGCACTCTGGGGGTGGTCCCGCGTCCCACGGGGCCTGGGGTGCGGACAGACACCCTGACCGAGCAACTGCGCTGGCTCACAGGCTTCCAGGAGGCCGAGGACATCACCTCACCCACCAGCCTGAGTCCCGGCGGGGAGGGGGGGCTCGGGGCCCCGGCCTTCCTGAGGCGGCCCTCCTCGCGCAGCCAGAGCCGAGTGCGTGCCATCGCCAGCCGGGCCCGCCGCGCCCAGGAGCGGCAGCAGAGGCTGCGAGGCCTGGGCCCCCCAGAAGAGGAGCGGGGCACCCCCGAGGGTGCCTGCTCCGTGGGCCATGAGGGCTGTGTGGACCCGCCAGTCCCCTCCAAGGGGGCCCCAGAGCCGCTGTGTGGTGCTGCTGCCAAGGCACTGACCCCCCGTGTGGGCCGGGCCTCCCTGGAAGCCTGAGGGGGGCAGGGAGGGTGCGGGCGGGTCCGGGGGATGGAGTGCCTGGGTGCTCAGAGCTGCTGGGTCCCCACTTGTTCTCCCTGGGTTGCCCTCAGTCTGTCCCCGCCCCGGCCTTCCTCCGGTGCCTGCCCCTGGGGAGGGAGGTGCTGTAGTCCTCTGCTGGTCCTGGGGGCGGCCTGGGCGCCAGCTCCACATTTTAAGATGGATAGCGAGGTTTAAACTTTGAGACGCCGAGCCCTTCCCACTGCTCTACTGGCGTCTGGCCCTGGGGGCGTGCAGTAAGCCAGCGCCCCTGGGTCTCCAGCCCTCTCCAGCCCGATGTGTGCCTGTCCCCAGAATGCCCGTGACACACCCTGAGTGACAGGATGTTGTTCCTGTCCCCACCCCAACTTTGTACTGGCTTGTTCTGACTGGACATTTTAAAGACTTTGTAAACTCCAATAAACACGCTGGCGTCTGCTCCCTCTGCAGTGCTCACCGGGCCCCTCCACTCCTCAGCCACCCCGTCCAGGCTCCCTGGGCGGCCTGGCCAGCCCGTGCTCCAAGCGACCAGGCCTGGCCCGGGCAGGGTCCTCTGCCTGTCACAGCCTCGGGCATGTGCTTCCACATCCATCACTCCCCGGGAAGCTGCAGGACTGGCCACCCTGTGGGGCACTGCTGGGCCCTGACCTCCACGCCGCCCGCCTCCCCTGGCGAGGTCCGGAGGGGCTCACCCACATCCCAGGAGCACCGGGATGCTCCATACAAGGCTTCAACATCTGCGGGCTGTGACCTGACAGCCTGCGGTTGGCACAGGAAGCCGATGTGTCCCATCAGGAAAAATGGCCTCTGGCCAGGGACCCTCAAGAAGGGGGGCACAGGGCTGGGGACAGCGTGGCCTTTTGGGTTCCCAGTCCCACAGGCAGCCATGGGACCCGGGCCAACCCTTCTCCACTGAGCATGTCCGGGCCGGGGTTCCTGCTAGCACCTTGCTGGCTGTGGTCTCTCTGCGACCTCTGCCTGGGCTGGTGGCCCAGAGCTGGGGAGGAACACCCAGCCCTTGGGTCTGAGCTCTGACAGCCAGCTTGACTACGAAGACCTGTGAGGGGCAGAGCCAGGATGCAGGGCGGGGACACGTGCCAGCCCAGGACCTTGGTCTGTTCAGGGAACAAGGCGGAAATCAGCCCACGCGTTCCAGATGGGAAAAGGGTGGGTCAGAGACAGGAAGGTGGCAAGCCTGACGGCCACAGGGCCTTGGCCCATGCCGGGTCCTCTGCACAGAAAGGCATCTGAGGTGGTGCAGGGCGGGCTCTGTGGGGGGCCTGTGTGCAGAGTCCTAGGGGCCCACCGCCCCACCTCCTCCTGCGGGCACAGCCTGGGCAGTGGGAGACCTAAGTGCCGGGACTCCTGGTGGACTTGCACCGGCTGGGAGGCCAGGGGGCTGCTCTAAACCTGGGAGGGGCAGGTGAGGACAGGGCCGGCCCACAGGTGGCTGGGAGCAGCTGGTCATGAAGGCTGCAGAGGGGGCCAGAAGGTTTCCCTACTGTAGCCTGGGAGCAGACTCAAGCCCCTGGGCTGGAAGAAGGGGAGGAGCTGGGCAATGGCTGTCTGGCATGCCTGAGTGGCCCATGGAAGGGTGAGCTGCTCGGGACGGACCCAGGACCCAGGGCCCGGGGCCAGCAACAGGCATCGTGATGTGGGCGGGGGAGCAGCCACTGCCGTGCAGGGCAGACAGGCCGGCAGGGGATGGTGGGGGGTGGGGGAAGGAGCCACTGCCGTGCAGGGCAGGCTGGGCATCACTGGTCTGGTGGCCTTGCTGGCCCCTGCATTTCTCTTGATCTGAGGGGCCTGGGGTAAGCAAGCCTCTTCAAGGCCTGTCTGGCAGACCAGGTTCAGAACCCTGAGCCACCTGGCAGCCCAACTCTCTGTGCCCCCCCCCCCACACACACACGGGCGATGGGTCAGCGGAGGATGGAGCCTCATGGCCGTGAGGACCCCAGCCTCTGGTTCACCTCCAGGGCTGAGCCCTGGGCTCCAGACCACAGCAGAGGAACCCACACTGGCTGTGTGCTCCGCTGGGCCCCCCGAGGGCCCTGGTGCTGTGGCTGGGCAGGCTCTCCAGATCCAGATCCCAGAGTGCGGCAGTGGGTGCCGTGCCAGGGCCGGTCAGCGGAGCCTCACGTGACCTGTGCCTCTGACGAGGTCTCACCAGACACACAGGCACCTATGTATATGTTTATATATATATATGTATATATATATATAAAAGATTATTTAACAGTTAAATACATTCCGTCTCGAGTCACTCGGGACAGACGCTGGCCCGACGCACGCAGGGCTGGCCGGGCGCGCGGGCTGCGGCTCTCAGTCACAGAGTGTGGGCGCGGGGCTCGCCGCGCATGGTGGAGCGCTCCCGGCGAGCGGCGGGGCGCTCTGCGGGCGGGCACCTCACTGCGCAGGCACCTCGTACTTGAAGATGACGCTGAAGAGCCGGCCGCCCAGGCGCTCGGCCAGCCAGGCGTTCTTCACCACGGCCAGCTTCAGGCTCTCGCAGCGCAGCGCCGCGTGGTAGTTGGTGTGAACAGCTCGGCCCATGCCCTCGATGACCACCAGGTCGGCCCCGCGCTCCCGCACCAGCACGGCCAGACCCTGGTCCAGGCGGCTTTGAGGGGAAGCAGCAGCATTAGTGAGAGGCGGCATGTGGGAAACTTGTGCGGGTGGCGCTTTTCTAGGAGGCGGTGGCCAGCAGGGACATGGGGGGGGGTGGGCCTCCAAGCTCCGCTCGCTGCTATGGGGCCTGTCTGTCAGGTTCAGCTTCCTGGCAGCTGCCTTGACCCCCAAGGCCTGGGTGGGCTGCCTGGGAGCTCCTGTGGTCACCCCAGCTCCTTCCCAGAGAATCTTACATCCTCATCCAGTTGCCAGCCAACTCCTCCACCTCAGAGCTGGCTGTGAGAGGCACTGAGCGGAGCCCCACAGGTGCCAGCCTCTAGGCCTCTAGGCCAGGTGGCTTTCTGGGGTCACACACCGCCTCCCCTCGGCCTCCCCGGCCCCGTGGCAGTGCCGGTTACCTGAGGTCGAGGCACGGGGAGCTGGAGCCCGTCTGCACCAGCAGCAGCTTCTCTTCCCGGAGTGCAGAGCTGCAGAGCACAGGGGGTCAGTACCGGGACCCCTCGGCGACTCCCACGCCCGCGGGTGGGCCCGCCCCCAACAGGCTGCACATGGCCAGCACCTACTGGACAATGGGGTCCATGGCCGCGATGCGCTCGGCCACAATGAGGGACTCGCCATAGGTGACGTCATTCAGGGCGGGGCCAGAGTTGCATGCCAAGATGACCTGCGGGGACGCGGCCTTTAGCTCTGTGGCTCTGGCCCGGTGTGGACCAGCCCCAGTGCGCCCGGCCAGCCCTGAGCAGGTCCCCAATAGCCAGCGGCTGCGGGGCAGGGCTCTCAGCGGCCTGGTGGCTCTGCTCTGTGGCCTCTGGGAGGGAGCAGAGCCCGGGGCAGTGAGCTCGGCGTGCCCTCGAACTCCTCCCAACTCTGCCCACCCCACGGGACTGGTGACGCCTGTCCCCAGGCCCCAGTGAACGGCTTTCCAGAAGGCTGGGTCAGCCCTAGTCTACGGAGCTCAGGCCCTGGACTGGAGCTGTGCCACCACAGGTCCAGATCCTTACCCAGCCGAGCCCACACCTACCTGCAGTGACAGCCGCAGGGGCCCTCAGCGGGGCTCACCCCACCGAGTGGAGGTGCCCAGGGGAAGGGTCCCACCCACACAGCCTGCACACTCACCTCCGTGCCTCTAAAGAGTAGCTCCCTGACAAAGGGGAAGACTCCCAAAATGATGTCTATTCCACTGTTATCTGCGAAAATTAAGGCACATTTATGAGGGGGCCCCTGTAAAACAAAACCAGGACGTTCAGTTGGGAACAGGTGCATCCAAGCATTTCACACACCACCACTCCACGCCCCTGCAGGGCCGGGCCGGGGCCCTCGGGTTCCCAGGACACGCAGGCACTGACACAGGCAGCCGCGGGGCCCTATGCTGCTTGTCCCTCTGGGCTGCTAAAAAAAGTCCCAGAGGGCTTTGGTGCAGAGGCCAGCTGACCTGGCTAGTGGTCACTGCGGGCCAAGCAGGGAACAGGGACGTTATATTTTCTCTGCAATGTTGGGCCTCACACACGTGCTGGCCAAGCACTCTACTGTGCCTCCCAGCTCAGGGGCAAGTTCTGCCATCAGCTCTATGAGACAAGGCTGTGTGCTCTGCCCACATCCGGGGACATCTGGGGCAGTTCCACCCGTCTCCCGTGGACTGATGACCCCCAGCCTGGCCCTGGCCCTGGCCCTGGGCCCATCTCCCCAGGGCAGAGGGGGAGGCAGCCCCACACACCTTTAGTCTCTGCAGCCACTCGCTGTAGGAGTCCACCAGCCAGGGCCGTTCTGTGGAAACAGTAACCCAAATAAATGAGTGCGAGGGGGCCCCTGTTCTGGCGGCTCCTCTCTCCGGGGCGGGACCTCTGACACCCAGGGTCACAGGGAGCCCGGTGCTGAGGGGGCGTGTCCCCACCCCGGCCACTGCCCACGGGCCACCCAGCCACATGCTGAAAATCAGCACGTGTGTACCTTGTAACTTCCTCTTGGCTTCTTCAAACCCAAACCTGGGGTCAGACTCCAGGACACTATGGAGAAAAGAACCAAGTTACCATTCCCACCGGCCAGCGCCTGCCGTGCCACGCGGCCGAGCTTGGTGGGGAGGAGCCTCTCAGAGATGTGATGAGCAGGGGCAGGAAACGGTCCTCCGTGTGCGTCTGAAACACCCCCCGGGACAGGCCTGTGACCCCAGCAGAGGCTGGGGCCAGGGGAGGGCTGCCTCCCTGTGACCACCCCGTGGGGTGTGGGCCGGAAATGCCACTTCTCCAGCACAAACACGGCTTCCTCTGAAGCTGCCCGCCATGAGGAGCCCGGGGAGGCGCCGAGGCAGCCGACACACAGGCACTGAGCCGCTCCGCACAGCACCTTTCTCGCAA